ATATATATAGTACGATGCAGAAGATTGTTCAGTTAAAAACCAGTCAAAATCCAACATTTTTCCTGTACACCAGGGCATCCTAAAATGCCCACAGAGAGCCACGTCTCTAGGACGTGCTGAAGAATAAGTTGCAAATACACCAAAGACAAAGTCAGAACACAGAATCCTCCGGGCCACAGCAGCCTGCAGAGCCACGCCCACCCCATCTGGGATTTGGCTCTCTGACCCCGGAGTTCTGCAGAAGCCTTGACCTTCAGGTCGGTTCACTCATGCTTACATTTAGGGCAAAGGAGGCCTGGCAGGGCGCCCCGCAGAAGGGTGTGGTCCAATGGAAGGTGTCCAGGCCAGTGCCCCACCCGCCCGTCAGAACCAGCACAAGGGGCAGGGCCTAGGGTGAGCAGGCCGCCTCTCCGACGTCGGCCTCGTGCCTCTGGCACCGCTGCCCCATGAGCCAGGGCGAGTCCAGCAGGGAGAAGGAGAGGAGACTGAGGCAGGGGTGAGGGTGAAGCGGAAGCAGGGGGAGCAAGAGCAGAGCTGGACACTGCGGAGGCAGCACACCTGAGAGCTGGGGCACAGGCTGTAACCAGAAGGCTCGGGGCCATCTCTGCCTTTTTGGTGTCACCGAGCGGGGCAGCATGTGGAAGAGGCTTTACGGCTTCTCAGATCTGGTGCTAACTTTGGAATCTCTGTTACAAGGCGGCAAACTGTCTACCAGAACGCACAGATTGCTCCCACCCAAGTGACAGCTTCCAAGGGAGAGCCGCATGTTCTGTGTTAAGTTATTCCAAATACAGAGCCCGAGTGGGACAAGAAGCCCTCAGTGTGGTTGCCGCCCGCCACTCCAGGCTGGCCCCAGAGCACTCGTGCCCTCGTGCTGGTCCCAAATGTTTTGTCGTTCGAGTCTGGGAAAAGAAAACACCACAGCAGTGTCTTCTGACCAGTAGGGCACAGATAAGGCCCCTCTTCGCAAACTCTCCAGAGAAATCCCAGGAGGAGCCCACAGCAACTAACGTGGCATGAAACAGGTCGGAGGCCCACCTTCGGAGCAGACAGAGGGGCCCGCCACCGCATCCCGGCAGGGCTGCCGCGCAAGCCGGAATAAACTACGGAGAGGTCAAACCCAGGGACTGAAGAACCAGGACCCCAGGCTCAGGGGACAGCCCAAGGGGAGGCCCGGGGGAGGACGGAGCTGGAAAGGATAGCCACCATCCTAGGGCGAAGGCAGAGGGCAGTGAGAGCTAGGAGAGCAGGCCGGGCCAGGGCAGACCGTAAACCGACTTGAGCGCTGAAGTGTATCCGAGGGCAATGAGAAGCTGTTGAAATGCTCTCAGCCAAAAAAAAAAAAAAAAAAAGGACGCAATGAGCGGCTGGTGGCTGTGGAGCCTGGGAAGAAGGGATGAGAGAGGGCTGGGCAGGGGGCCGGGAGGGGCTGTCCCTGTAGTCCTCCCTTCTGCAGGTTTCTTAGGGTCTCGTGTGCGGGGCTCGCATGGGTACTGGAAGTAAAATGCTCAGTAAAAGAGAAAGACTCCTGTTCTCATGGCATGTCCAGACGAAGGGGGTCCGGAAGTCAGCTAGCAGTGACGAAAGCGGAGCCTGAGGTGGGGAGCGGGGGTGATCTGGGCTGGGTGGCTGTAGAGGGGAGAGAGCGGAGAGGGTGCTGGAGGTGTCTGGGTGGGTGGGGAAGGAAGGAGGGAGGTGCGGCCGCTGGGAGGATGCTCCAGCCAAGGTGTGGCCTTGCCCCGGCTGGGTGGCCCCAACTCCTTTATTCCTAGAGGGGTGTGTTCAGCTCTGCTCTCAGGCCCTCCTGGGGACTCTGCAAGCTCCCTGGAGCCCTGAGAGGAATCCTCAGCCCTGACTCCAGACAGGAGTGTGCTTGCTGGGATGGGGTGGGGGAGTCTGCCAGTGCCAGTTACCCTAATGTTAAAATCGTTCTCGAAACAATTGGCAGTCTGGGACCAACAGATGGGATGCTGGTTACAACACTGGCTTCCCACATTGTCAACCACGGTTCGAGTTCCAGGCCCGGCGGCTTAAAACTCAAGCCAGGCACATGTGCGTGCGTGCCCAAATACCCCAGAGGAGAATGAAGAAGGGGTTGTGGCATGGTCATCCCCCCTGGATGTTATTTCTTGCCTTCTGTCTGTCCAGCAAACATACGTGCACTGTAGGAAAAAAGTCTCTCCCTAAAGAAATACAATCACCACCAACAACAATGGCCGGTCTGTCACTAAAAAGACTCCTTGAGAAATGGACATTGCCTACAGCCACTTGAGGGTTTGGGGCCCAGCCCGGGCAGGATTTGAAAAGTTTTTATAGTTTTATCTACAATGTCTCATTTATTATATAGAGAGTAAAAAAGAACCAAAAAGAATTGTGCCTAAAAAACAAAGAAGTCCAGGTGGGAGGACATCGTTACCAGCCAACCAAGTCCGGTGGCTTCTTCTCACAGTCGGTGAGGCAGAGGCAGAGCTGGGGAAGAATCCACTCCGCAACCGGCTACAGGGACACGGGCGGCACCCCCGGACGTCTCGACAGCTCTGCATGTCCTCAGTGTGTTCAGGACTGAGATGCGAGCAGGTGCCAGCCATTCTACGATCATTCGGAGTCACGCGCCTTCCCTGAGTGACTAACCGGAGTCCTTCACATACCCACTCGGGGTTCTCCTCTGACCACTCCTCAGAGCCCCCCACCACTCAGCGCTGGGGCAGGGGGCTCATTAGAGGGCTTTCTGAATTTTAAAATGGTGGCTGTCCTGCTAAACCTGAAAGTGACCTAAACCTTAAAGTGACCTAATCCTTAAAGTGACCTACATTTATATGAAACCAGCTATGGGAATAACTCACTTCTGAGTGGACCCTCTGCTATCAGGACACTTCATTCACTTTAAAAAGAAAAAAAAGAAAAAGAAAAAGAAAAAACCTAAGTGAAACAATGGGCCCCTTTTCCAGGGATACAGAATCAACTCCACTCTCCTTCCCACACCCTACCCCTGCCCGGTGTTCCCTGTCTCACTGCACAGCTTCCAGTTTGCCCTTTGGAGTTCCAGGGAGGTCTGCCAAGGGCTAGGGGCGCAGGGGTGGGGAACCGGCCACCCAGGTACAGACACTCTGGCCTGTCCACCCAGCCCAGGCCGCCCCACAGTTCTCTGAACACTTGGCCTGGTCTCGTCACCCTGAGACCCACTGTCCACCGGGACAAGCTCCGCTGCCAAGGGCTTTGCTGGTGGGGTGTCGGTGGTCACGCGAGAGGTGTCCACACACAGGGTCACAGGGCAGGGGAGAGCCGGGGACTCCGCGGACGGCTGCACTGAAGGGCCCTGGGTGTGGTGGCCGTTAGGCAGAGGCCTCTCCCTGAGGAAAGCCAGCCTGAGAAGGAACCGGGCGTGGGAGTGGGGGCCAGGGGTCAGGGACCCGCTTCACAGAAAGGTCCCCTGGAGCTTATCCGAAGCAGCTGCATTCCCAGCAGCGCTCAGTTTATTAACAGCTCACTCAGGGCCTTCCTGGGACACGGCGACCTGCCGTGGGGATGCAATCGACTGGGACCGCAGGAACCTCGAGGAGCCTCTAGGCCAGGTTTTGTGAAGAAGGTGGGGACCCGTGGGCAGAACTGAGGGGAGAGCAGGGCTTCGCAGGACCCCTGCTCTGGTGCATCGGGGCAAGCACGGCAGGTCAGGCAGTGGTGGACGACAACGGTTAAAAGCTTTTACTGTCGGGGGAACACAGGGGCCCCTGGTGGCAGGGTGGGTCAGGCAGCCGACCCCACACGACCAGCGATGCAGTTCCAAAGCTGCCAGCCGCGTGTGTGCATTTGGCTTTGGACAAATATTTAAACTGAAATTTCAGTTTCCTCATCTGTAAACTGGGAGGACGGATCAGCATCTCAGAGAGGAGTGGGGGCTAGGGTGTCCCGCGGGAAGGGCCTGGCCCAGGCCCAGCTCTCAGCTCGGCTCCCTGCCGGGTAAATACTGGCGGCCCTCACTCCCCTCAGCAGGCTGTGCAGGAGGGCGCGCTCTCGCCTCCCCGTCCTGCACGTACAGGGAGAGGGAGTGGCAGAGAAGGGCAGGGCCGGAAAGAAGAGAGAAAGACAAGAAGCAGAGACAAAGACCAGGCTGTGCCCACCCGTGTGTCCCACTCCAGTTTCTGGAAATGTCCAGCCGCCCACCAGGGAGCAGTGGTGAGCGCGCTCACTGCCCACACGCACGTTGGTCAGAGAACATGCAGCCCCTCCAAGAAGCCAAAGTTGGGAAGTGAGGTTCAGGGCTGGAGACCAGGGAGCGGGAAGGCCAGAGCTGCTGGGAAGGAGAGGCAGCAGGAGCCAGAAGTCGAGGAGGGCTGAGCTTAGCCTCATTCGCCCCAGAGATCTGCAGGACGCCTCAGGCTCTGTTCCTCTCTTTCTTTTTTATTAAAAAAGAATTATTTAGTTCGTTTTATTTATTATGATTACTATTTAATTCACCAGAGAGAGAGAGAGACAGAAAGTGAGGAAGCAAGCCACCAGGTCTGGGACTCGAACCATGGTCAGCCATGTGTGAGTCCAGTGCCTTAACCACCATGCCATGGAAATGATCCTTCAGTGGGCAGAGCAGGCCAGCCTTTCCTCCAGGGCTATGACTCTGTCTACCCCATCCTGAGCCTCAGCACATTTTAACTGTCAAACCAGCAGGTCAGTGTTGGCCGCATACACCCCACCCAGGAAGGTAAGTCTCCTGTGTGTCATAAGGTCCTTCTGGCCTCCTTCTGGCCTCCTTCTGGCCTCCCTCTCACCTTCCTCCACACTTCATGCCCTGTGTTGCCCACAGACGCTTGGTGGCCCCTCTGAACAAACACTGGCCATGGAGCATCAGCTGTTGTTGCAAGCCTTTGGTCAGGCGGGCTGCCCGTCATAGCTCCCATCTGGTGGAGGTTGGGACCCAGCCCCGGGCCTGACTCTGATCTCCAGAGAAACTCCAGGGATGGGTGCTGAGGGAGAGCACAGCGCCACCTCCAGGATTGCCCAGTACCACTGGGTGTCCCTGACGGCCCAGGGTTTGTGCCCAATGCCCACAACCTCAGGATAAAATGCCCAGCTAGGGCCTGCCACCCAGAAACCGCTCCATTAATGTCGCTCACAGCCAAGGACTGCCAGCCTATTTTGGGCCTTGGCAATCTTTTCCCTCCATTTTCATGCTTAGTTTTATAATCACTTGCTAGGTTTGGTTTTGAAGGAGTGCTAATAATAAGTAACACATGTATTCCACTTAAAGGAAGGTATCGAATGTGAGTTTCCATCGAAAGAGCTTACTTTCTATTACCCCGTTAGCATTTTATTAGCGACGAAGTATTTCACTCAGAACTGGAGTAATATTGAGCTCACCGTCATCCAAGGTCTTCTCAGTCCCACTGCCAGGTCTCCGCTATAAATGTCGGGGCTGCCGCTAGGCCTACAGAGCTCTGTGCCGTAAGTTCTCGAGCCGGGTTCTTTCAGGTGGCCAGGTACTATCTGGAAAAGTAAGTTAATTAGGAAGATCACTATCTTCTTTTTCCTCTCATTTGACCACCAGGTCCGGGACTCAAACCGCAGTTGACTACATGGGAGTCCAGCGACAGAGCCATTACGCTGACTGCTGGTCCCGTGATGCTTCTTTCGAAGAGTGCAAGAGGGACCCCCATCCTCGCTGGGGCGCGAGGACGAGCAGAGGGAACGTGATTTTGCCTACGTGGATGCAGAGATGGCGCGATCAGGGCCGTCTCCTGGCCCAGTTACACAAAGCTGCACAGCTGTGCTGTTCCCGTCAGACCAGGGCACCCTTTCACTCGGCTGCAGGAAGCGACTTGACAGGTGGCTTCCCGAGGCCAGCGGAGATGCAGGGTGTCCCTGCAAGGGGCCAGCAGGTGGTGTGGTAGTTGAGGTGCTGGATTCCCACGTGGCCAACCACAGTGGGCGTTCTGGACCTGGTGACTTGCTGTCTCACTTTCTCTCTGTCTCTCTGGTAAGCACACATACCCTATAGCAAACTTAGAAATAATGACAATAAGAAATAAAATTTAAAAAATAATAGTGTGCTTGCAAAGTTCCAAAGAGCAGCCCTAAAAGGGGGCCAAGCCCTACCCAAACCCAGACAATCATGTTCCAACCCTGAGCCGTGGGGCTCGGCTCTGCTGGGCTCCCTGCCTAGTGTACCCGTGCCTGCAGAGCTGAGGCAGCCTGCAGATGGGTTAGGAGGACGTTCCAGGGCCCTCCCCTGGGGGTCCTTACCGGGCGGGCGGGGGGGGGGGGC